CTGCCAATAGAAATAGGTTGCATAAATTTTGCAGTAATTTGGATTTTTTTTGCTTGGGCATCAGTATTATTGAGTAATCGTTCAACCAACCAGGAATAATAAGTGGACAGTAATAATGGCTGTTGGAACAGTTTTTGAGGGATTACTAACCTTCATTACAGTTCCTGATTGGCATTAATCGATTGAAGGTACCGAGTCCAAGATTCTCAATATGGTTAATAAATGTAATTTTGGTAACTATTACACGACCAATTTAATCGTTCTATTGACCAGTTGACTGAATAGAAGACTAAACTTGATTTTAGAGAATAATTCATTAGTCAACTATAGTCCGATCAAGGTGTATGTGTCCTTTTCTGGGGAAAAGCAGCCCATTCGCAATTCATGTTGTAAGAATTGAAATTCTGGAGTGAAGTTTTAGCCTGCTTCGCTTATCACAACGTAACCGAGGAAAGATAGGAGAGATAGTCCAACTACATTACTACATGACGATTGTCAAAACATGATCTATTCTAATAACATCATTTAAACCATAAAAAACACTATAAACTTATAAATAATACATCAAAAAACATTAAATAGCCTCAAGGCTTCTCTACTTCAATAAATCACCTTTATTAATAACAAATCCATCAATGACAGCCATGGCAGCATATAATCTATTTTCAGCTTCTTCAAACACAATTGAATTTTCACTATAAAACACTTCATCATCAACTTCTTCTTTATGTCTTGGTAAACAATGCATGAATTTCCAATTAGAAGCAGCTTGACCTTCACTAATCATGTTTTTGGTGATTTGATACCCAGCAAATTGTTTTAATTTTGCTTCTTTTTGTGATTCTTCACCCATAGAGATCCAAGTATCAGTAACGATAATATTGGCATCTTTAACGGCAACTTTTGGATCATTAACGATTTCCATGGATAAATTGTGTTGTTTTGCTAATTGTTCAGCTTGTGCTTTAACTTCTGGATCAAATGTGATATCAGCTGGGATAGACACAGAAACATTAATCCCTAATTTTAAACAAGCAATAGCTAAATCATTAATAACATTATTAGCATCACCAATCCAAGCAAGTTTTAAACCTTTAGTTTCACCAAAAGTTTCTTTAATGGTTAATAAATCAGCAATAGCCTGTAATGGATGATATTTATCACATAAGGAATTAATAATTGGGACTGAAGAATCTTTACATAAATCCAAAATATCTTGATGTTTATTAACTCTAGCAAAGATACATGAAGTCATAGAACTTATAACTCTGGTAGTATCATACATGGATTCATTAACACCTAATTGGATATCATCTTTACCTAAAAACATAGGTTGTGCACCAAAGAAGGCAGCAGCACCTTCAGTACTAATTCTAGTACGGGTAGATCTTTTGGAAAATAAAAGGGCAACTAGTTTACCTAATAATTTTTGATGATTTTGAGGAGATGATTCACCTGATTTAACTAATGATTTGTAATATTCAGCTTTATTTATTAAGGAACTAAATTCTTCATTTGTTAATTGGGATATGTTAACTAAATGACGTGGGGAAGCTTTTAAAGTAGTTGAAGCAAATCTTTGGGTAGTAACTGTTCTGGCAACCATCATAATAGAAAGGGAATAAGATAATAAGATAATAGGAAGGAGAAGGAAAAGAAGAAGGAAATTAAAAAAGTAGAAACTTTAGGAGGAAATCTAACCAGCTTTATATAGTTGTCAATGTATCTATTAGAAACAATGAAAAAGAATGAAAAAATTTTCAAATCGGTATAATAAATTTAAAAAAATATTTTATGACTCAATTCAAATGTGGTAATTAGTAATTGGTTAAGCGCGGTATGAAATCAGTAAAAAAAACGGTTAATTAGTATGACATTTACTCTGAATTTCATTGTTGACGCTGTGTAAATTTCAGTATTGGAAATGAAAATTTTTTCTTCTTATTGGTTCTTCTTCTTCTTCTTCTACTTTCGTATTCAACTTTACAACCGGTGACGTCATCCTACCGCTCCATTCAGATCTCCAATAAGTATACATTGTATCTCCTCGGCTTACTGACTCCTTTTAGTATGAGTAAATGATTTCTTCACATAATCTGAATCATTCCATTCGCATCGAAAACTTATTGAAAGACTATTGGTATTACTATCAACTCAAAGGTCTAAATTAGCTAAGATTTGTTGTTTCTTTGCAAAAACTTCTTGTTTTTGTTGAAGTAATTTCTCAGATTGTACTTCATATTTCTTCAGCAAATCTTCTAGGTTTGCTAACATAGCTGTCAATCTCTTTATTTGTTCTTTCAATGGCAAAACCTTAACTGAACTCTTTTTCCCCTCTTCTTCTTCTTCCTCTTGAAGATCATCTTCACTAAGTTCCAAATCATACCGTCTTCGATCAAATCTGTTCCTTTGTGGATTATACAATCCAGCATCTTCATCATCAAGTTCAAAATCATTATCATTGTCCTGGTCTATCTCTAACTTATCTGGTTCTTGTTTCCCAGTTCCATCATCATAATTATATACATCCTTATATTCCTGTCCGAGATCACTGGCAAGCTGTCGAATGGAAGGGTTTCCGCTATTAGAAAGCCCCGGTATTGAGTGAGCAAACTTTCCAAATGTACTTTCAGGCAATTGGTAGTTCTTATTGTTTGGTTGAGGTGCTTGAAATTGAAACCCCAGTAGCCTTGGTGGCATTTGGAAACTGAAGCCATGCATATTCTCAAAGACGGGGTTGTTTTCCGGGTTTTCTTGATCTATCACTATTTCAATATCATCATCGTCCTCTTCTTCTTCGTCCTCTGTTGCCGTTGCTGTTGCTGTTGCTGTTTCCGTTGCTTGTAGCGTTCTATATTTAGATAAATCTCGAATACCAGGAGATGATGATTTGCTTGGATTTTCATCTGATTCTATTTTATTTCTGTCCTTGGTGAACTTAATCCCAGATGGTTTTATCTTGGAGAATGATAGATTGGGTGCTGTATTCTCATTATTATCATCATCATCGTCTTCATGGTCTTCGTCAAATGAGAGTTTTGGTCGTTGGGGTTTGGGCGGATTCTTAACAAAACGTGACGTTTTTTTAAATTTGATTGGTTTCGTATTTGAAGGTTGAAGAATTTCATTCAATTCATCTTCTAAATCAACTTCTTCTTTCGTATGATTCATTTTTGTATCTGCTTTTGATTTGTAGTTCTAGAGTATCCCCAAAGGTCTTTCCCTGTTAAAAAAAGACTGATTGATGTTTGGAATTGCGGCTGTCGCAAAAAATCGCGACCAAAAAAATTTCAATGCCTCATCATCATCATCGCTTCATCATCGCTTCATCTAATTGATCTGAGAATACAAGAGAGCTCATAATAGATAGATCCGCTTAATATACTTCAGTAGTATCCAATAGTAATAGTCATCATACAATGTCATCGCTATCAGAGAAAGCACGCTTGCTTCATAGCAAGATGCAAGAAGCACCACCATCAACCCTCTTTAATCAACAACAATTATCCGACTTAATCCATACTTCCAACCCAGCCGAACTCTTAAACGTCGCTCAAGAATTAGTCAATGGGAAACTTGTCAAATTACTGAAACAGGGTGATGAATTAATCTTCCAAGCCGTATCAATCCAAGAAGCTCATAAAATCACCCAAATGTCCGATGATGAAGCCATGATATATTCTCATATTGAAGCAAGTGGCCGTGAAGGGATTTGGACCAAGACCATAAAAGCAAAAACTAACCTTCATCAACATATCGTAGTTCGATGTTTGAAATCATTAGAGAATCAAAGATATATCAAATCAATCAAATCGGTGAAACATCCAACAAGAAAGATATATATGTTATATAATCTCCAACCATCTATTGAAGTAACTGGTGGACCATGGTTTACTGATTCTGAATTAGATACTGAATTTATTGATTCATTATTGACCGTGATTTGGCGATTTGTGGCCTCGAAGACATTCCCGGGGGCTTTTCAACCACCGCTGAATAATATGAATCCAGTTCAAGCAAGCTATCCGGCTAATCATACTGGATTTATTCATCTAGATTCAATAATGGAATTCATTACTGCTAATAAGATTACAAATATTGAATTGGGGTTGAATGATATTAGAGCGTTATGTGATGTATTGGTATTTGATGATAAATTGGAATTGGTTAATCATACTACTGATACGTATAAAGCAACTTGGCAAAGTGTATTGGAAGCAGGGTTTGGAAGAGCATATGAAGAAGAACAGCAAGGAGAAGAAGATGGGAAGAAATTGATATCTGATAGTTTGAGACAATCAATTAAAGATCAATCATTTTCTATATTTGATCATTATCAAACTATTGAAGATACTGAAAATACCGAAGATTTGGTATATTATGATGCATGGATTAAACAGTAACCCATTGGGTGTCTTTCTATAGATGACTTGTATATTAAAATAAACCTAAACTTGTATTGTTACAATAACTACATGTTTAATCATGTCTTTGTCGATGTGTCGCAAAACTTTATGTGTCGCGACATACACACAGAAAATATTTTACATCCAGTTTATTCTTGTGATGAAAGTAGATCACCATCATCAACGGCATCATTTTATTATACACTCTAGTCTTCATTCAACCAAATGGCAGACATACCGATACTTCAATATAAGAAACCAAACTCATCTCAACTGAGATTAGCATCACCGAGAATCTCCCAATCATCATCACCACTTCCACCAAGGACTTCCAGCAAATCGACACCAACACCAGAAACAACCACACCGCCACATGACAAGCAACAACATAGACGAGTCCTGTCACGAAGAAAAGCCCTACAGGAATTCTACCACATTCAAGAACAATCCACAAGCAATACAAACAGCACGACTAGCACCGAAGAAACCAATACTTCCACAACTACAACTCCAACCCCAACAACAGGATCAAAAGTTGATTTACAAGATGTTGAACAATTGAAGCAATTCATTCAGAATTCAAAGATTGAAGATATCCTTGCTCTAAGGAATCAAATGATGTATAAATTGAATTCTCAAGATCTGGAAAAGAAATCAATCATTTATGATAATTATTATGAATTGATTAAGTTGAATAATACATTATCTGATCTTTCCAAAAAACATCCAAAAGAAACTGGAGCTAATACAGGATTGGATGCTTTGGGAATATATCTGGATGAACTGAATGATGATAATACAGGAGCTGCTGCCGCTGATACTAAGGAAATCTTTTTGAATAATTCCTTGATTGAATTACAAGAATTTGTCAATTCAGAGACCAAGAAGTTTACAGGACTGTTTGGTTCAGTTTTGGAGGCTTTGGATCTGGAAATATCACGTTCTGATTCAGTGGCTAGTATAACTACTATAAAGGAAGATAGCATGCCAATTCCTGATGATATTGATCGAGAAAAGTTGATTGAAGAGATTAATGGTTTATTGGCTATAAGAACGAGACAGGAAACATTTGATGAGGATTATAAGAAGGTTGTCTTGAAGAATATTGAGAATGTATTACTGAAATTAACGATATGTAAACATGAATTGTTGATTATCGAATTAAATGAACTTAAGAATTACATAAATACATAGAGAGAAGATATAGCATGTTTATAGAATATCATCAACTGAATGATTCTTGAACTTTTTCCCTGACCTATCGACACTTCTAAACTCAAACCTTGATCCAAGGATAGTAAACCCAATACATTCATCATCTTCTTCTTCTTCCTCTACCTCCTCTTGCCCTTCTTTGGTTTCTGTCCTCTTCTTCTTAGGTATAATAACATCAAATCCAAACAATGTATGCTTCTTGGGCACAACCCTCAACCCACCCACCATTTCAGACACACTAACATCTCCCCCTTCTCCCCCTTCTTTCCACTCTTTACAATCTCGTCCATTAGGAACCACAATTATGAACGAATGCTGGGCATCCCAAACAACTATCCCCCTCATCCCAACACAATTCCGATTTCTCGATTGTAATACAGTAACTAAACATCCATTATAATCAGCAGTAGCCAATTTGGGTAAAATATTAGCCATGGCAAGATTATTTTGTTGAGATTGAGGAAATAGAAGGTCTTGGATATATTTCTGCCAGAGGGCGTTTATGGTTCTGAAATTGTCGAATTGGGGGATGTTATAATGTAAGATCATTTTCTGGAATGGGAATGGGTTAGCTGTCTTGGTTGGTTTTCGATTATAGGATTGGATTCGTTTGATTAGTTTCTTTTGATTCTTGAGTGTGGTTTGAATGTATAGCTTAAGATCCCTTCGGGTGGATTGTTTCCTTTCTGGGGTGATGTTGGATTGGGATGATTGTTCTTGATGAAGAAGCGATTTTGGTTTATTGGTGGTTGAGTCTGATGATTGACCGAATACTATGGTTGGTTTTTGATCTCCGGTTATGGAATATCGTGAAGTTAATAGTTCAATTATTCTATCTTGTTTATCATAACATCTTGTGAGTAAATGCTTTTCTAATTCATTGCCTCTGTTATTCATATTGGTTATGCTTTTTGCCCCGGGCTAATCAACTATATGGATGAGATGAGTAGTCTTTGATATTTTTTTGCGCTCACTAATTTAACCACTCGGAATAATTTCCACAATTTTTCAAAGACATTCATTTTCAACAACTACCACTGTAACTATATACCAACAACTAGAGACATGCTTACCAGGTCGATCCTAAGGCAAGTCATTGGTCTCCCCAAGTTGTTTCCTCGGAGAAATATCCACAACATGAATCTTCCATTTCAAGATGAACTCACTCCAGGAGATATGGATGATTTCGGTCTCGGCGATTTCCAACATTACCAACCATCTCCAGATACCCTTAAACAAACCCTCCAAGACACACAAGCCCCACCTCCACCTCAAGAACAAGAGGATTCTGCCGACTTAACTAGTCTCGCACAACTGAAACAACCACTTGTATTTATATCCAAATTCACCGATCCATATCTTAATCTAGCATTAGAAGATTTCATCTACACACAAATGCCAAAACCTGACCCAACTTCCACTTCAAACTATAACCGATTAATGTTCTACATCAACACTCCATGTGTGGTTATCGGCAAGAATCAAAACCCCTGGAAAGAAGTCAATCTCCCCTTATTAAACTCCCTCAAAATCCCACTTCTAAGACGTAGATCCGGAGGCGGGACAGTGGTGCATGATTTAGGAAATGTGAATTATTCATTCATGACAACAAAAGACAAATTTGACCGGTTTCTGTTTGCAAACTTGATAACAACGGTTATTAATAATATCGTCAATGACCAGAAAAAGATTATGGTGAATGAACGGGGGGATATTGTGACGAAAGAAGGTGGGTTTAAGATAAGTGGAAGTGCTTATAAGTTGGCCAAGGGGAAATCATATCATCATGGAACCATGTTGTTGAATTCGAATCTTGAAGTTTTGAAGAAATTGTTACATCGAGATGAATCGAAGTTGGGTATTGTGGATGCTATGAATTCTATTAGTTCTGTGAAATCAAAGGTGATTAATTTGGGATTGGAACTGGAGAAATTTATCCTGGCTGTGAGTGATGAGTTCCAGAATGAGTATGGGTTAGAGGTTGAGAGAAAGCAGCCAGAACCTGTTGAGCAGGAAGAAGATGAGTATGATCAAGATGAATTATTTGGATTTAATCAATTTGTGGGTGAGTCTGAAAGGGCATGTAAAGTAATTACTGTATCAGATGAATCCTTGATCCCGCAAGAGGTGCATGAAACCGCTAGAGAGTTGAGAGAATGGAATTGGAGATTTGGAAATACTCCCAAATTCACTCATACTTTAATGAATGACCAATATGGATTTCAAGTTAAATTCATTGTAGATAGACATGCCATTATAGAAGCATTGGAATTGACCAGTGCTGACGAATCAGTTCAAATGCATTTCAAATATCTTGAGGAATATATTAAAGAACATAAAGGTTTAGAATATACAGGTAGCAATATTGCTGGATACATCACTCATGATGAAATAAGTGATTGGATTGGACAAAGTATAGATGGAAGTATATAGACTTGTTATTTAATAGATAAATCAAGGATGTTTTAAACCATGGTTTCCTTTGTAGTTTACAACTTGTGGAGGTTTCCAATCTTTCAATACCTCATCTTCATTATCCAACTTATAAACCTCAATTCCCAAACTTCTACAACACTCAACCATCTTCATCTCTTCCAATTCATCATTCTCACCCCATTCCCACTGTGACAAATCCCCACCAGGACAAGCACTGATCGCCACCAATAAATCCTGTTCAGCAAATAACTCAAAATAATCATCTTTCCCACTTGGACAAGTCTCCATAAAATATTGATCATACTCATTCAACCCAGTCACCTGAAAAACATTCAACACATCATGCACATCATACTCATTCAATCCAAACTTCATAATCGCTCTCGTTAAATTCGAATGACAATGGAAATCATTATCATGTCCGCTGATCAATTTATCAATATATGGATCACACCTGGTCCCCAATGTATCATGAACCCGTCCTCCCCATTCATCATGTCTGGCCCCATTTGGACCCTCGGCCAAGGTATCTCCAATTATCGTCACCATCGGACGGAGAAATGGTAAATTAGACCAAAGTCGATCAAAAGTACTCACATGGGCGGAATGTAATTGTCTAGTTCTGGCGGCCCAGAATCGTTCACGGGGGTTGTGCATGTTCCAAAGATTCAAATCACAGACTTGGGGTCCTTCTGGGGTGGTGAGACGAAAGATTGATTTGGCGGGGATTTGGATGGCCATCCCTGATCGTGGTGGACATATGTGGGTTGAGAGTAATGTTTTGGGAGCGGTGGCTATTTTGGTATAGAGATCTCGATCGGGATAAATTGGGGAGCCGGGGTGAGGATAGTAGGCTGGTTTTGGTTTGTGGAGGTTATAGGTTGTTTTGGTTGGGGTTTGTGAGGATTGTGCTTTGTTTGGTGACATTGTGCTGATTGCTACAGAATTAGCTATAAAGGATTTGGGAAGTTAAATTTGGGTGAATTTATACATTTTTCAAAATCTTTGTAAGGAAACGTCGAAAGGGGTATATCTAAGCGAAAGCGAGAGGAGACTTAAAAAATAAAATATTTTTTATGTTGGTTAATTACAAAATTTTGCATTTAATTGCAAAATCTCTTATCAATTAGTAAATCGTAATATACTGGGAAATATACCACAAAAGTACATATATCTTATTACCAACTTAATTCAAATTTGCCAAGATACAATAATATTGGATAGAAATGACTTTAAGCATTTGCTAGCACTGAGAGCGTTGCGAGATTTTTTACCCCATATTTTCCTGTGACTTACTTATATGAACCAAATTGGATATTGGATGAAGAAAGAGATAATGGCCACGACTTCAAAGACAAGTCCTAAGTTAACTACCTTCTTCCCGGCTTGGCCGCATTTAATATTTTGCTTATATACTTAATTGGATAAGACAAATGACGCCCAAGACCTCCACCTGGTGGAAATGGCAATTTACTTGTGAGAGAATTCTTTTTGTCGTCAAGGCGAAATAAAATCAACAACTATCATGCTGAGAAGACCAATCAGGAACGATCAAACCAGGGTGGAGACTAATCGAACGCTGTTTCATCAAAGGTATTATTGCTGTACAAGTGGGGCCTGGTTGTTTCAATAATTGCTCTGTGATATTGGTAGATGAAACTCCTGACAACCAAGAGCAAGCAAAAATCCAAATTGCTGCAAGAATTATGAAACCCACCCATTTCAATTTACAATAAAATGACATTGCTTGGACACATATGTTAGTTCTTTTCAATTAGCTTGACAAATGATTGTAACAATCAAGTTGGGAAATTTGGATGATTCTAGAATAATTCCGCTGACTTCCATAAATTCTTCAATTTCGTTCATAGGTATTCCATTGATTATACATACGCCATATTCAAACTCTTAATAGACAACTCAAAATTTAAATATTGTTTACTTCAACCACTTCAATACCTTTGTCAATGCTCTAGATATATCCTAATAAAACTTGATCCTTTCCTAGCTTCAGGCTAGATTCATCTAAGAGGCTAGTATAGTCCCTAATCCCATCCGTCCCTTCTGGATATGATATAATTATGATTGAAATAGTTGTGATATGTGAGTTAATGATTGTGGTAGTTAATTAAAGAAAGAAAGAAAGAAAGAAGGGAAAAGAAAACACAAATAAAATTAAAAAAATTCTAAAGGATTTCTAGAGATACTTAAACTCTTTGTAAATTTGTTTGTGTTCAATTTCGCAACCATCATTGCGATCGTTGTTCACCAAAACTGTTGAGATTTGCAACCCATTTTACTAGCAAATTTTGTATATAATTATATACAAGTGTACAAATAAAGTGTATTACTGATGCCCCTAAGTATATGCTGCATTAACCCGCAATAAGCTTGCTGAAACTTTTAATAATTGTTTTCTACCAACAACATTTTCAACAACATTCCGCCTGGGGATGAAGCTGGAGTCCGCCACGGATCCCCATTTTCTCTGATGTAAAAAAAAAGGTTCAACAATCTAGAATTACACACCCACACAACCCACTAAGAATACCAACAGATTAAACCTAATTCTTGTGTTCATTTGCAATCAATGCTTAATATGTGGCAAGATCTCCAAAGCCAATGGCTAATGCTGATAAATTAATACAACCAAGATTGAACAAGGTCTGGACAGTTTTCATCAAATATCAACTACAACTGCTACCATAATGAGTCAATAGCAATACGTAATACCACCACTAACAAGAAAACACTAATAATAATGAGAACGGTTTGTATCATTATCGAACGATTTCAATTAATGATATATTTGTCTCATGTTAACGACTATGTACGATTTGGTTTCGATAATTATATTCAAGATTTCAGACAATTCATTTCTATTCAATCCAGATCTCCAATTTGATTCAATTCATTTAAAACCGTTACCATTCTTTAAGGGGGGTTAGCATGATGGATTAAATTGAGCCAGTTAAAGGAGCGAATTGGAATTTAGATCGAGGTTCGATTCATTCTAATTAATCACCAGTGGTAATTTAAGATCAATGTGCATTTTGTGGAGAGTTGGGGGAAGATGGTTTGGAATATTGCCGATTAGATTGTTTGAAAATAGATGAATCTCAGAATAATGAAGATTTTATTGTCAGTTATCTAATAACATTTATGTGATTTCTTTTCAAAATTAAAACTTGTTCATTCAATTGTATATTTAACTTAAGTGTCACTACACCCACAACAGAAATTAATGGAGAAACAATTGTAATTCCGAAAGAATTGGACCAAGCTGGAGAATCTTTGAGATTTCGAATGTGTGAGTTGAATCAGAGGGAAGATATTTTTCAATAACTTGGGATTTTGCAATAACCTAAATCAAATCCATGATATTAATCTTGATGAAGTAGAGTACGTCAGTTTTAGCTATTTAATTTCAAAGATAACAAGTAGACTTTGTGATGAAAATGGACGTGATTCAATTAGTCAAACCCTAATTCAAATTTAGTGGTCTTTAAGAGACTAGGAGATCAATGGTGGCGGCCCTGTGCTAAAATAATGAAATATGGAACAAATTGAAGGAACATGAATTGGATTTTTTTTTAAATACTTGAATAATAATAATAAACATAGCAATAGACATTGCTTGATTGTATGACTAGGATGAATCATAAATGTGCTTGAATGTAGGTGAAGAGTAAATAAATGGAAAGGATAAATCTACATTTCTAATTTTTGGCGCTTAAAATTTATGCTGCAAATTATCTTGGTAACAAGATCAATCTTGTGTCTCTTTTGTTAAGATCTCAAGACACAAGAGACAGTAAGAATTAAATACAAAAGATAATGAATCAAAGTAATATGTCTGGGAAATGATATTATAAACCTTCGTAATTGCTTGCATTAGTTATACTTACTACTTTCTATATATACATCAATTTATGTGTGTTCCTCTTCCCTCAGGTTGTTTGTTGACTTTTTCTATTTCAAGAGTGTTACCCGACCTTCTCACTGACAAACCACTGGATTATTTCTGTCTCGACAGCTTTGACAGACATCGCTAATAATCATCAATACCAAGTCCAATCAATCAAACGGTTACTTATTTCCTCGGATCTTGAATTCCAGAAATCTTGAGGTACCTATTTGCAATTGCTCTAGAACTCTGTATTGTATGAATGAGTTCCAGAACTTATTTAATAACTCTTAATACTATATAACTAACTGTAGGTAACTTACCCAAACTTTTGTTTGATTGAACTTGGCAGCATTGATGATTATTAACCCAATTAAGATTGTGTTGCAAAAAACAGATTAAGAAATCGAAGTATAAATTATTTTCTAATCTTTCTTCTGAGACTGGGGAATTTTGAAAGCAGAACATTTAGCCCTCTAATCTTTCCATCAAACGAATGACGCCTTGTCAACATTTGGATGAACTTCAATATCTGAATCATCTGAAAGTCCAATCTTGTCCCACATCACTCACTTGGCATCGTCTATTTTCTTCGTTGACTGATGAATTGTTCTCTAAAACCATGTTTCGTTTTGTTTCAAGTCAACTGGTCAATATGGTATAAAAGAAACAAAAAAGAAATTTCAAGAATGATAAGATTGGTTGTGTGATAGTTACCAGAAATAGATTTACCTACGTATTACCAAGAAAAACAGGTTGCATATCTCCTGGGCTGTTGGGCCACATGAACTCCCTTTTGAGGTCAGCCCAGTTTTCATTTAGATGTTTCAACAATTTGCAACTTGTAGAATTTGTCATTCCGTAATGGTTGTCCGAAACATTATGAAGAGATCGTCCATCCAGCTAGTTATTTCTCGGCTGACATTCATTTTTGTTCTTGTCATATTAAATCTGACTACGAGAGTTTTCTAAATTCTCACTAGCCCAAAAGGGATCTGCAAATCATGTTTATCAGCATTATGCAAGAATATCCGAATCTACTTTTGAGGAATTTAAAGAGCAGCCTTCTCAGTTTAATTAGCCTGGTGATGCGTTCCCGTTTCACAACATGTCGCCAAGTTAGCTTTGGTTCAACGACAGTGTTGGAGTATAGACATATATGCCATCAGAAGTGTCCTCAATGGAACCTGTTTAGAATCTTTCTAATACTACCTTCCTATAATTGAATAAACTCCCGATGTCGTGTTTCTTTGTGTTTCAAAGTTTCAAAAAACTCTTTTAGGTAAGGGTGAACTATATGAAAATCATAAGCTGCAAATTTTCGTATTATTTTTTGGTTTATTTTTTTTTTTTTTGCAACCATTGTCAACACCAAATTAGGAAATTTTGTTAGATGCAATATCTTACATGAATCGGCTGATATATGAACAATTTACATGTTATAAGTTTCATGATAATTATTCTTAAAGATGGTTACATCGATTTTAATAAACTAATCTGTATTAAACTTCTTTCCCGATGTGGTTAATGCTTTTGGTATTTTATCCTGTAACACTTCTCTGACAACTATAAAAAGGGCTGTATATTCCCTTCTCATGTCAATTTTTTTCTTTCTTTCTTCATTAACAAACAATATTCACAATGGCTGCTCAAAACGCTAACGCTAAGACTCAAACTAAGACTGACGACGCTGCAAAGGACAACTGGGGTTGGTGGTGGAGACCAGGTAGCAATGCTAAATTCTACGCTTCCTGTAACGTTATGTAAGGTGGAACACTACTGATGGTTTTTGGTTTTTTTAGGTGAATATGGTGCGTTTTTCGTTGACTTTTTCGGTGAATGGGTGGCTTTTATATGTTTTTTTCTCTATAAATTATATTGATCAATATTATATTTTCGTACGTTACTTAATATTAATGCTGAAGAATTCTTTGCAAAGCTTCTTACTGTAAACTACTCTAACTCATGGAGAAATAGATAACTATCAAAAGTTGACGTCTATTGCGACCTTGTATAAAGGGTGGTGCTCCCGGTGCTGATCATCTTTACCATTCCTACCTACTACTCTTTATAGAGGAAAACGGAAATTTTGCAAATATAGAAGGTAATAAGTTACTGTAATCGCTTTACTAGTTTAAAATAATTAACGTGTGCACTCAGAATAACACTCTCGGTATAGTAAATGTCAGTGAAAACTTTCTTGTGCGGCACTACCAGTTGATTAGTTTAAAGACGTGTCAGTAAATTTTTTGCAGTCGAATTTTTTTATCGCAATCATTCCCAATTTGGAAAATGAGGCACGTCGTAAAAAAACAAAAATTGAAAAACTACTACTGCTCCGCATTTTTCTATTTATCCATGGAAAACAACTTTTTCTAATAAACGGCAATTTAACAAACGGTAGTACTTACTCAATTCAATAATAAGAGAGGACAGAGAACTCTTTTTATACTCTACAACACGAAGACATTTATTGGATGAGAACGCAAATGTTGAATTGATCTAATCTGCCCTGTCGACGTGTATTATTGATCTCATTCTAATATGTAATTAATCAAAAGTGTAGATCAGATACAAAAACAAAACAGAACAGACAGTCAAAAAAGTAAACCAATAACTCCCGTAGATTACCGAGAATTGATATTCAAAAACAGACAGACAATAAGTCCATGGATAATCGGCAATAGATACGGACAGACAAAAAAAAAATTCATAGTCTCGGATAAGTTTTTTCGATCTCCCCCACATTTTCATGCCCCCCCTCGAGCAGTTTATACTTCCTCCACCTACCCCCCATTACCTTCCCCCTTTTGAATCCTCGAAGTATTTAAACCCATTGAACTTCCCATTAAAGTTTTTTACAATTTATCTGTTTCTAATTGTCACTTTTTCATTTCAAAGTTAGAGTAAGTTAGAGTAAGTAAGCAATGGTTGTTCCAGTAGGTCAAAGTATTCGTAGATTATCAACATCTCAAATTAGATCAGTTAATTATGGTTTTATTGGTTTAGGTCAAATGGGTCAACATATGGCTAGACATATTTATGATAAATTAGATATTGAAAATGATAAATTATATGTTTATGATGTTTTCCCACAAGCTATTACTGCATTTGTTGATAATGTTACTAGCATCAAACCAGAACATAAACATGCTTTAACTCCATTAAGTTCAATTAAATCATTTGTTCATGATGTTGAAAACCCATTGGATTTCATTATTACTATGGTTCCAGAAGGTAAACATGTCAAATCAGTCATTACCGAATTAACCAAAGAATACAAATCAGTCAACCCATCATATTCAACCACTTTCATTGATTCTTCAACCATTGATATCAAGACTTCAAGAGAATGTCATGAAATTGTTAAGAATGAATTACCAGAATTTGATTTCATTGATGCTCCAGTTTCTGGTGGAGTTGCAGGTGCTCGTAAAGCTACTTTATCATTCATGTTATCCCGTGAAGATGATGCTTCAGTTTCTCCAGAATTAAGAGAATTATTATCAAAAATGGGTAAAAACATTTTCCCATGTGGTTCTCAACATGGTACTGGATTAGCTGCTAAGTTATCCAATAATTATTTATTGGCAATTACTAATTTAGCTACAGCTGATTCATTCCAATTGGCTAAATCATTTGGATTAAATTTACAAAATTATGCAAAATTAGTAGCAGTTTCAACTGGTAAATCTTGGGCAAGTGTTGATAATTGTCCAATTCCTGATGTATATCCTGAAAACAATTTACCTGCTGATGTTGGTTATAAAGGTGGTTTCATTACTAGATTGACTAGAAAAGATGTTGTATTGGCTTGTGAATCAGCAAAGATGGCTAATAGATTCTTATATCTTGGTGATGTAGGTAGACATTGGTATGACAAGGCTTGTGAACATGAAGATATTGCCAATAGAGATTTAGGAGTTTTATTTGAATGGTTGGGTGATTTAGAACAAGACAGTGTAGGTAATGTCATTGATACTAAGAGAAAGTAGAGTCACTCTTTGTTATATTAAGTAGATTGTATATGCCCTATTTATTTCTATTTCCCAATTTTTATAGCGTTCTTTTGTAATAAAAAGTTTGATACTGTTATTCGATTGCATTCCTGGAATACTTTGTTGGAAGTATTTTAAGTATACATAGTAAGAGCTACTTTGTTGACAATGAGTTGCTCGACAAGCCGGAAATTGACTATCAGTACGTATTTGATGTATATCCATTCTCTACGAGACTTTGGATACTTGGGATCATTTTGATCGAGTAAAAGCTATTGTTAGTCAATTGGCTGATCTCTATGATGACTTTTCCTTCCTCGGACTGAAAATTATATTCTGATCTATGTAATATCAACGGCTAATGGTTACTGGCGGGTATTAGAAGCGATCGGCAATGTTAAACGCGTGTAATTTCCTTTTTAGGAAGGTTGCGCTAAATATTCACAATTTGAAAATCAATCCCCCTCAATTTGACTCCACAATGAAAAAAATGTGTCCTCCTCCTCCACATTTCTACTCCTTTTTATAAATAAACTCAAGGAACCCCGAGTTTTTATTTCAATTAAGTTTCTTTCTTTACCTATCAATTGATTAACGATTAAATATGACAACTACCACTGTTTTTGTATCAGGTGCTACTGGTTACATTGCCCAAAATGTTTGTAAAGTATTATTAGAAAAAAGTTACCGAGTAATCGGTACTGTCAGATCAACTTCCAAAGGTGATCATTTAAAAGACTTATTCAATTCCCCTAACTTTGAATATGAAATAGTTGAAGATGTTGGACAAGAAGGAGCATTCGATAAAGCATTACAAAACCATCCAGAAGCTACCATCTTCTTACACACCGCCTCCCCCTTCCATTTCAGAGCTACCGATATCGAAAAGGAATTATTATTACCTGCTGTTGATGGAACCAAAAATGCCCTTAAGGCAATTAAACAATATGGAACCAATATCACCAATGTAGTCATCACATCTTCTTATGCCGCTGTCTCCACCGCCAATGTTGAAATTGACCCAACTGCAACCGTCACCGAATCAAGCTGGAATGAAATCAAATGGGATCAAGCCTTAAAAGATGTTGTTAGTGGATATAGAGGTTCGAAAACATTTGCAGAACGTGCAGCCTGGGATTTTGTCGAACAAGAAAAACCAGGATTTGTGTTAACTTCAGTCAATCCTTCATTTGTATTTGGACCACAAGCTTATGATTCAGAAGTTAAAGATAATTTAAATACTTCTTCAGAAATCATTAATAATATCTTAAAACTCGGTCCTGAAGGGAAATTGCCACCTACTAGAGGTGGATTTGTCGATGTTCGTGATGTCGCTAAGGCCCATATTGTCGCTTTTGAAAAGAAAGAAGCTCATGGACAAAGATTGGTTTTGAATTCAGGAAGATTCTCATCTCAAACAATTGTTGATATTTTGAATGATGAATTTAAAGAAGAATTGAAGGGGAAGATCCCAGTCGGAGTTCCAGGATCTGATAAAGAAGCTATTGCTGGATTATGTAAAGTCGACACTTCTAAGACTAATGCAACTTTGGGATTTGAATTGATTCCTATTAGAAAAACTGTGGTTGATTCAGTTAGACAAATCTTGAATGCCAGAAAACAAAAGCTTTAGATGCTTAGGTAGATATTTGAAATAGTAAATGATATATCATCTTCTTTAGAAGTAAGTCTCTCTGTGTGTTTCTCACGTTGTCTGTCTTGACTGACTCTCTAATAAACTTCATACACGGCTCAATTTAACGCTACCAAGTGAAAGCAATTTTGTTGTAGTCGCTACCAAACGCTGATAAGCCAAAAAAGATCAAATTTTTCAATTTGTTAACGAACACACGACTCATCTCTCCATACCTATCATTGAGTAGAAACCATAAGAAGATGACTTCAGAAGGGTTCAATAAGATATCTTCGCTCAATGAAGAGGCTTTCACTAAATTACATCACTATGGACCATGTACATCTTTAAAGCTCTACCAACAATACATATTCGCAGGATATGGACCAATCTTCAAAGTCTTCCGAGTGGACGCCAACAACAACAACACCACAGAAATATACTCTAAGCAACTATTCAAAAGAAACAAGATCCATCATATTGCCACTAGTACTAGTGGTAAATACCTTGTCATAAATGGAGGCCGTTCATTCTCAATCATCACAATATCCGACCTTATTCACGACCCAACCTACATCCCAGTTGAGAAAGCCATTAATGAATGGATAACCACTACTTCATTCCTTAATAATAACGACACTCACCTCCTTGTATTAACATCCCACAACGCGATCTACAAAATTGACACCAGCACATTCGAATTAGTTGAGAAAATCCACTGTGAAGAGAAATCTATCCTATACAGTGGTTCAATCACCACGTTGGCCAATGGGACTACTTATATTGCCGCAGGGACAGTCATGTCAGGAATCCTAATTTGGAATCTCGACACTCGAGAAATCATCCATAGTTTACAAAATCACGAAGGATCAATTTTTGGAGTGAAAATTGACCAATCGGGGAAATATATAGTTTCTTGTTCCGATGATCGTTCGATCATTCTTTATGATTTTAAAACGGGAGCAGTTTTGGCCACTGGATGGGGACATGGGTCTCGAATCTGGTGTCTCGAATTCTTCAAAAATTATAATGAATCAGAAGTTAGGATTATGAGTTGTGGAGAAGATTGTACTTTACGATTATGGAAATATGAACAAGGAGCGGACCAATTAAAACAGTTGGAATGTTGGGAGAATTGTCACAGAGGAAAGCATGTTTGGCTGGGAGATGTGGATGATGAGAATTTGAAGATTTGTGTGACTGGGGGAGCAGACGGACGAATTAGGGTGCATGACTTAGATGTGGAATCAAATCTGAGACAAGAATATTCCATGGTTGATATTGGTAGCATGATTGGTGTTGGGTTTAAGAAGAATGAAGTAGTGAGAGATTGTTTTGAATTATCAAAACTTGGTTTATTGGTTTTGTTGACTACAAATGGGCAATTGATCAGTTTTGATGAGAACAAGAAGACATTTTCAAAGATTGACTTCAATGAACAAGATAAATTTGCAGATTTCGGTATCGTGAAAGGATTCTCCGATATAAATATTGTGTTAATCGCTTCCAGGAATGGTGATATTCTTGTATTAGACTTCAACGACTCCGCGGTACCTTCTATTTCTTGGATCAGGGACGAAAATATCGGCAAGAACAAATTAACCAACTTATTAGTCTACTCTACCAACGACAAGCACTATATCTTATCCGACTGCGCTAACCCAAACATTCCATTCACCTTACGTCAATTCACCTCCGATTTCAAACTCACAAAAACACAAGAAATCCCGCAACCTAACCAAACTCGTTTCACCACTACCGATATGACGATCGATGATGAAAATAATTGGTTAATAATTGCTTCGAGATATGTTTCAGTGGCGATCTTTGATCTTAATGACTCCGCCACGTCAACCCTATTCAAGAAAATCTCCGCTGGGGATACAATCACCTCCATCCAAATTATCAAACAACAACAAAACAAGACCCATTTATTAATTCTAGTCAAGGACGGGATGTACATCTACGCCAACCTCGCCAAAGACACTACCAACAATGAATTTCAATTATCAATCATGCATCAGAATAAACTCACTCGAGGATTCGTGGAAGGAGGATATATCGACGCCCAAGACAATCTTATACTATACGGCTTCAAATCTTCCTATTTCTACGTCTGGAATGAATCTTCCCAAATCGAAATCATGAATGAACATTGTGGAGGCGGGAATCGTAATTGGAAATTCTCAACCACCGCCTTAACTGAGGGATATAAATTTATCTACATCAATCGATCCTCATTATTCATCAGACAATATAATGGCAGATTCATGAGTCAGAACTATGGACTCATCCAATCGGGAACCCATGGTCGTGAAATCAGGGATGTGTCCATCTCTCCACCTCTTCAGGATGGGCGTCAATATCATCTTCTTGCCACTGCGTCGGAAGATGCCACGGTGGCTATAAGTAAACTCATGCCTGACGGAAGTGTGGTAGGATATTGGAATATGAATAATCATGTGTCTGGATTACAGACGGTGAAATTTATCAATGAACAATTTCTTGCCTCTTCGGCTGCAAATGAGGAATTCTTGATATGGAAATTGGATTGGCTTGGCGAAGTTCCATTATTAAAGGAGTTTGCAAGAATGAAAACCGGGAAGGATATTCCTGATTTGAGAGTTATGGATTTTTGTGTATTGGAACAAAAAGATGGGGGGTTTATTATTGCGACGGTGTTTTCGGATTCAAATGTTAAGATCTGGCAAGTAGATGCAGATGGGAAATTTGAATTGGTATTGTCAGATTATTATACTACTTGTTGTATATTAAATGTCGAGTTTTTGAAGTTTTCCTCCAAGATATTCTTGCAGATAGGTACAACTGATGGACACATAACAATCTGGGAAATCTCTCACAAATTGCGTTTGTCACAAAATGGCGAGGTTCAGAAATTCGATAAGATGTTGATCAACCAGCAGCTCCACCAAAACGGAATCAAAGCACTTCAATTATTCCCTGCCGACGAAGGCTATAAACTAGTCACAGGTGGGGATGATAATGCCATCATTGTATGTACGATTACCATGTCTGATGACGACGAGTTGAAATTGCAACTAGTAGCGTACGAACCAGACGCGGCATCTGCCACCATCACATCCATTTCTCCAGTGGGCAAGGATCGGTTTGCAGCTACCTCTGTTGATCAAATTGTTAGATTGTGGTCATTTAAAGGGGATAGATTGACTTGTGAATCGGCAGCATATACTACCGTTGCAGATACTGGTTGTAGTGATAGCGCCAGTTTTGGAGATAAGCATATGGTAGTGATTGGTGGTGCTGGTCTTAGTTCGTGGATGTGTTAAATAGAGAAAGATGTGTTCAATGAAACAAATGTATATATTATATTAGTACTTTATAAAATTTTATATTTATAGAAATCTTTTTTAAATTTTCAATAATCTCAAGTTGAAGACGGTATCATTAATAGTTTGTTCTTCGTCAACAATAACCTTATCATCTTGAGCATCGTCAGCAACTTCTTCAATTGGTCTCTTAGTAGACTTGATCAAAAGTTCTTCATTTTCAGAAACAACATGCTTGAAATCAATAGTATCCTTAACCAACTTATATTGCACTTGAACGTCATCGGTAGTATTCAATCCAGCCTTCTTACGTAATCTTTGGATACGATTAATTAATTCACGGGCCAACCCTTCTCTTTCTAATTCAGGATGCATATTCACATCCAAAATGATTAATACATCTTGGAAAGATCTTGATTCGTGACCTTGAGCGGCTTTGGATTCAGGCAATCCACGTTGAACTTGTAAATCTTCAGTAACCAATTCAATACCATCGACAGTAATCTTACCAGATTCAGCGAATTTTTGTACTTCAGCGGAAGAAACTTGTGGTAATGCCGCTTTAACTCTCTTTGCATCCTTCTTTAATTTCTTACCCAAGACGGGCCAGTCAGCAACACAAGAATATTCAACACCATATTTGGCTTCATCAGAAGTAATGACGATATTTCTAACATTTAATTCATCACTAATGTAATCCTTCAATGATTCAACATCACGTAAATAGTCTGGGTCTGAGTGTAAGATGACCAATTCCTTTAATGGGGTCTTTAATGAAATCATCTTCTTTTCTCTAATGTTACGACCAAGGTCAATAACTTTTTGCATTCTTGATACGGCAACTTCAATCTTTTCATCAAATAATTCTTCTCTGACTTGAGGATAGGATAAGAAATGGACCGATCTGAGATCTTTATGGTTTGGATTGATGACGATGGCTTCTAAATCGGCTTGAGGGAAATAATCCTTGATACGTTGATAAACACCATCGGCTAAGTATGGAGTGAATGGAGCCATGGCTCTCGATAAGGTTAACAAAGCTTCAGCTAAAGTGTTAAGACCCTTTCTGGTGTCTTCAACATCATCACTTGAATAACCTTTGATTCTACGACGGTTGAATCTAATGTACCAATTGGTCAAGTCATCAACGAAATGCAATAATCTTGGAACAACAGTATATAATCTGTATCCATTCATTTCTTCGTGAATAAATTTGATTAATGATTGAATAGAAGCTAATAACCATCTATCCATAACATTGGTAGAATGTAAAGTACCATCATAGACAAAATCTTCACCATTATCTTTCTTATAGATATCAGCTGCATCCTTCAAGAATTTGTAGGAATTATACCAAGGTAATAAAACACTAGAAATGATTTCTCTAACCCCTTCTTCCTTGAATTTCAAAGTTTCACCTCTTAAAACAGGGGAATTGATTAAATATAATCTCAAAGCATCAGCACCATACTTTTCCAAAACAATAGAAGGATCTGGATAATTCTTCAATCTCTTGGACATCTTCTTACCATCAGCCGCCAAGACGATACCAGTAACAATAACGTTTTGATATGGAGCAGTGTTGAATAAATGAGTACCCAATACTGTCAAGGTATAGAACCAACCTCTAGTTTGATCTAAACCTTCAGAAATGAAATTAGCTGGGAAGGCATTTAAGAATTTTTCTTGATTTTCAAATGGATAATGTTTGGAAGCATAAGGCATAGAACCAGATTCAAACCAACAATCGAAAACTTCTTCAATACGACGTAATTTACCTTTACCTAATTTTGAAGGAATAGTGATTGAATCAATACTTTCACGATGGATATCAGTGATATCATCTCTACCTGACAATTTCTTTAATTCATCAATTGAGCCAACACAGACAATTTCTTCAAAATCTTGAGAAACCCATAATGGAATAGGAGTACCCCAATATCTATTTCTAGAAATGTTCCAATCTCTAGCGTTAGCAATCCAATTGGAAAATCTTTTGTCTTTGATATTTGAAGGAACCCAGTTGGTTTTTTCGACATTTGCCAACATGTCTGGGATGATTTCACCAATTCTAACAAACCAAGCAGGGACAGTTCTATACATCAATGGAGTATCTGATCTCCAACAGAATGGATAGGAGTGCTTAGCTTGAGAGTTAACCAAGATTCTACCATTTTCAACCAATTTCTTGATGATTTGTTTATCAGCATCCTTGAAATACAAACCAGCAAAATCAGGAACATTACTAGTCATCTTACCAACGTCATCGACAACACTTGGTGGTAATCTATTTTCATCGATGATTCCAGCAGCACTTGCGGCGTTGAAATCTTCTTCCCCATAAGATGGAGCTTGATGAACAATACCAGTACCAGAATCGTTGGTAACATAATCTCCTGAGATGACTTTGAAACCAATATCTTTGAATTCTTCATAAAAGTATTTGAATAATGGTTGATATTTAATTCCAACTAAATCTTTACCCATAATTTTTTCAACAACTTTGAACTTAGCAGCTGCTGGCTTTTTATATAAAGTACCAAGTAAACCTTCTAATAAGATGAAATGTTTTTGTTTTTCTTCATCAAAAATCTTGACATATTCAAAATTTGGATTAACAGCCAAGGCGATGTTTGCAGGTAAAGTCCATGGAGTAGTTGTCCAAGCGACCAATACGGTATTTTCATCGTCAACCAATGGGAATGCAATAGTGATAGCAGGATCATTGACGTCTTTATAATTTTGTTGGGCTTCAAAATTAGACAATGGAGTAGTACAACCAGTAGAATAAGGCATGACTCTTAACCCACGATAAACAGAATCTTTCTTGTATAATTCTTTGAATGCCCACCAAACAGATTCCATAAATTCAGGATATAAAGTTTTATAATCATTATCCATATCAATCCATCTACCCAATCTCTTAATAGTTCTACGCCATTCATCAGCATATCTCATAACAATCGAACGACATTCGGCGTTATACTTATCGATACCCATGGCATAAACGTCTTCTTTAGAAGTAATACCCAATTTTTTGTCAATTTCATGTTCAACTGGTAAACCATGAGTATCCCAACCAAATCTTCTTTCAACATGGAATCCATTCATAGTAGCATAACGAGGGATGATATCCTTAACGGTAGAAGCTAAGATATGACCATAATGAGGAGTACCAGTAGCAAATGGTGGACCATCAAAGAAGGCAAATGGTGGTAAATCATCAGTAATTTGTAATGTTCTTTGAAAAGCATCAATTTCATCCCAAAGTCCAATAATGGAATCTTCTTCCTTAGGGAAACTGAATTGTTGGGAAGAAGAGGTTGTAGTAGCAGCAGTCTCTTCAGCCATTGTCTTCTTTGTTTCTTGTGTCTTTCTTCTTAATTAACAAAATTTAATCAAAATGACTAATTTTTCAAATTTTTTTTTACAACCCATGAAGAAGTTTCTTCCAAATTGGTGATAACCAGAAAAAAAAAAAATTTTTCAACTGAAACCGGTTCTGAATGAAGTCATGTGATATAGTACACTACCGGAAGTATCGATCACGTGAGCTTATCTTATTTTTCAACCCCACCCTACAAAACTATACCAGCTGCTTTTAGGAGCAGATGGTGTTTCTGAGATCCGGATTGGAAAAGATATTTTGAATATTGGCTTAATTTTTAACTATTTCTATTCTCTTGCTGTTCTCCATACTGCTAATAGTACTCATTGGATATTTTTGTAAAAATTTGCAGCTAATTTAACTAAACTTTTATTAAAAAATCTATTCGAAATCCCCAGTATCAGGGTGATTTGTTTCTCGAATTATTCACTCCTGAAAAATGTCAATTCCATTCTTGTCAAAACTTCACGCTGTTGTTAAATTTATATGAGTGAAAGAAGATTCAGAAAACTACGACAGAACGCTCCTCTTTATAACGAAGAGCTGATGTTTTTTTTGCACCCAAACTGAAATATGCGAACAGGGATCTGTATCTGATTCATAAAATTAAATTTGGTTAAACTAGACAAAGAAGAATCCTACGTAAATTATTAAACAAATAGTACGAATACGATAAACAAAAGCCCCATCGTCAAGGTTGCTCTCGCTATGATATTAGTATTACCAGCAGAGTGGGAATCAATGAGTTTTGGATAAATCGAAGGTTCACTCCCTCCGGTAGTTGAAGTTTTAACCGAGCTTGTTTGAAGTACTCTCTCTCCTTGGGAAGCATCAACTACAATGCTACCATGGGTTCCATCGATGGTAACAGAATCATCATTTCTGTCAACTTCAACGTTACCATTATCGGCATCACTACCGACTGCAACAGTTCCGGGGGTACCACCACCATCAACTGAATTCTCTCCACTAGCACCATCACTGCTAGACACACTGGAACCAGGATTAACGTTCCCGCCAGATGTTTCGAATCTAGGGTCAACATTATCGTCAGAATTAATGGTACCAGGACCAACATTCCCGTCAGTTATAATGTTACCAAGAGCATTATTACTGTCAGCTGCAATATTTCCACTAGCAACGTCACCACCTGCTGCCATAGTGCCTTGACTGTTTTCTCCATCAACTGGAACGGCTCCATGACTACCGACACTGTCAACTGCAATGGTACTACCATCTACAATGGTTCCAGGATTACCATCACCACCAACTGCAATGCCACTGCCATCTACAACAGTGTCAGGATTAGCATCACCTGCCACTGCCACGGCTGGAAGACTACCATCACCATCAGCTAGCATGGTTCCACGAGCACCGTCACTGACACCAGTAGAATCATCATTACCACTAACTGATGGAGCTCCGTGGTTTGTATCGCCTCCTCCTGTAGTACCTTGCTTATCATCATTATTAACTGGAGTTGTACTGTGACTACCAATACCATTACCTGAGATGGTTTCATGAGCGGTTTCCGTATCAATCTTATGGGCACTGCTAACTTCAACAACACCAGGATTTCCATCACCATCAACTACAACGGCCCCAAGAATAACATCACTCTCCACCGCGTTAGAGTCAGGAGTACCTTCACCATCAACTATGTCACTTGCAAGTGCAACAGTGCTGCTAAGAGTTACGGGAACAATACCTAACATCCCCGAACTTGATGACTTACCGCATGTGGTTATAATAGTAAAAGTGGTGATAGTATTCACAACAGTTGGAGTCTCATTTGTTTCTGCGCTTTGCGCATCCACTTGATGACCAAGCAAAATAAATGGTAGAATGTAAAATATATATTTCATAATTTTGTTGAAAGCTGGAAACAGGGAGAATTGACCGTGGTCAGTAGTAAAAGCCAAGCCAAAAAGAGGACCATTTATACTTCATATTCGATGTGTACCTTAGGGGATAAGGTTCCGTGGGATCTAACCGATTAAAGAGTATGGTTTGGAATCCCTGTAAGCATTGATGTGTCTTAGGGGCAACGCCTGAGTGAAGGAAGTCTTAAGCACTACAACTAGCTTACCTTCCTCACCAGTCCAAATATATACAACACACTGGTACACCACTCCAGATATATTCATCACCAGTCCAGATATATTCATCACCAGTCTGGATATATTAAACAGTTGTGCGGGTATTTTCCTATCCAGTCGTACGATAATTGTCAGTGCATATTAAAATCTCTAAATGAAAAACAAAGTGAAGTAAACAAATTATGACATAGCCTTGATTGA